TGAACAAACAAGCCGCGAGAAGAAGGAAGGTGATGCGAGTCGTGTTCTCGTTTTAGCCGCTACCAATATGCCTTGGGATATCGATGAGGCTGCACGTCGTCGCTTTGTCCGTCGCCAGTACATCCCCTTGCCTGAACATCATGTCCGTGAGCAGCAGATACGCAAGCTTATCAGTCATCAACACCACGAGATGAGCGACGCGGATATCCAGGTCCTGGTACAGGTGACAGAAGGTATGTTTTTTTTTTTTTTCCTTGTCTAGTTCGTCTTGCTAATTGATACCCTCAGGCTTCTCCGGCTCAGACATAACAGCCCTCGCCAAAGATGCTGCCATGGGTCCCCTGCGCAATTTGGGCGAGGCCCTCCTACACACACCGATGGACCAGATCCGCGCCATTACCTTCCAGGACTTCGAGGCAAGTTTGTATTCCATTCGGCCTAGTGTATCCCACGACGGACTCCGGAAATATGAAGATTGGGCGAAAGAATTTGGCGAGCGAGGCGGATAGAGTAGATTTGGATTTACTCGTCTTGGACTCTTTTTGGTTCTGCTCCCTTGTGTCTATTTGACAGCCTCTTGGGTTGTTCCTCTGTCCTCCTTGTCTGTGGGGGCTTTGTATGTTCGATACGATTATAGGAATGGAATATTCGATTCTTCTTTTCCCTCTGTTCTTTATAACCTCTCCCCTGTCAACTTAGATGCCGTGTCCGAGTTTGTCCCTCTAAGGCATCCGGACTTGGCTGCCAAATGTGTTAGATATTTTAGTTCCATGTTTGATCACGACAAGACTCATGCATAAACTTGATAGCACTACGGTAGTAGTATAAACCAAATCCTGGGGCTATCATCTGCGTTTTGTTTGTTTCCTCGTTGTGGGCAGATGAATTCTGGCTTATTCTTGCTATAAATTATGGCTCAGTATGCACATATGTAGGTCTGTGGTCTACGTTGACTGAAACTTCATAATGGGAGCCAGACGTCAATCTTCAGTTCTATTGGTCTTATGTGCTAAATATAGACACAAATTATGGCTCAGCATGTACATATGTAGGTCTCTGGGAAACCTCATAATGGGAGCCAAACGTCAATCTGCGTTCTTACTGGGCGTCCCTGGTGGGGGTACCTTACTAAAGTACGTACCTCGTTTCTTACGTGCTGACCTAGGAAAGATCTACATAATTTATGGCTCAGCCGAATTGAATATTGAGTATGAAATTGGCACTGCTTTGCCTGGATTTAAAGGAAACAGCCATGTCGAAACAAGAAAACGGGTGTCAGATGTCTGTCTGCGTTGTAATAGGCACTCAACCGAGCCCACCTAGTGCCGGGTCAAAAAGTACCTAGAAATTGGCTTTCCGGGGCTGTGTAGCTACCTCGTTTGGTCATTGTACATTTAGATAACGCATTAAGTACAACCTGTATACGGAGTAGGGTATATATGGATCAACTCAACAACACTCGGATCTCCCCTGTCGTTCGAGGGAACAACGATCTCAAACTCCATTGTTCATCGCCCTCTTCATCATCCTTCCCAGTTGTTTCTATCCTACCATCGGATTTACCACTCCGGCCACTAACGCTGGTCCCGGTTCCAATGGCCACATTCACGGTTCCTCGCGCCTCATCGGCGGCAATAATCATGCCTTCGACGAACTCGAAATCACGGCAGAATGCCTCGACCGCATCCTCAGTGACGCTCTGAATAAGGGAAAGGCTTTGGACACGCTTCAAATTATCGGTTGCGTCCATAAGTGCAGATGGGAGGAAGTCGTCGAGTTGTTGGCTGGATGTAATCAAGGACTCCGGTTGGAAGGCTGCGAGACTGGCCAGGTCGGCTAGGTGGGGTTTCTGCTGGTCTGGCTTCTCGGTCTTTTCATCCGCGGTATCGGAGAAAGGCTCGAGGGCCTCTAAGAGCGTTTGGAGACCAGAGGACTCGAGGAGGAATTGATGCTGGGTGTCGAGAAGGTCGCTGCGTAGGGTTGATAAAGCTGCGGAAATAGGAGGGACGTGTGTGGAGCTGGCGAAGGGGAATGGTGACACAGCGGCACGGGCTGCAAGTAGAATATTGGTGCGGTAAATAGACTGCTCTGTGGTGGTTTGGAGTTCATCGGATGAGGACCGGGCTAGTGTCAAGAATGGATCGAAGGCAGCCCGGAGGACAGAAGTGAATGGGTTCTCCTTCGCATCTGGAGATGAATCTTCTGGTCCAACGGAAGCCTCATAGGTCTTCATCAGTGATTCCAAGCCTTCCAATGCATCTAACAAGAACTGTGGGGGCGACAAGTCGTCTGGTGGAGTCAGGGCAATATTGTCACCCGCCAAGGCGCTGATTTGGTCGCGCATCAATGTCTCAAAGTGGCCAAGAGTGAACTTTTCCAAGGTCTGGATCAGGTCCACCAAGTGTGATTGTGCGCCCACTAGTTTAGTGAAGGTTGAGCGGTAGAAAGACAGCAAGCTTACAACCTTGTAGCAAGTAATAGGGTCCTCATGGCTCTGAATGACGAGCTCTATTCTCTGTCGCAGTGATCGAGACACCCCAGTAAGGTCGCGGTTAACTAAGTCATTAAGTGCCTTTTGGCCATCAAAGGCAACTTCCTGGTCCTCATCGATGCGCGACCAGGGCTCACTATTCAGGCCGGCCTGGATCCCCCGAGCGAGTTCGTCCCCGTCATCAACAAACAACGACTCAAGAGCCTCTCGTTCTGATACAGTTGTCGAGTGCACCCACGCAAGCATGTCACCAATGTACCGGAGTGGGTCATGCGCTGAGAACTCAATCGGTTTGACGGTGTGATCACCGGCGCTGGGCCCATTGGCTCCCGAAACAGCATCAGTTAGTGCATAGTGGAAAGCATCGGACAGCACATAGTCCCGTGCCTCCGCAAAGAAATCTAAACAGCTGTGGAATAGACTCGGGCGTTCTGCCAGCACCCGTAGAGCGCGGCGGATCGTACTGCTGATGCGAGGGTCCTCTAAATTCAGGGACCTGAATTCTTTCTGGACCCATCGGTAGAGTTTCTGGTATGCTGAATTGAGGTTCCGGGTGCTCAATTCCATTACCTCCAAGCCCAGTCGCTGATTCTCGCCGCCGAGCAAGACCTCGCAATCGTGGTGCACTTGCTTGACACGAGCAAGCACGTCAAAGAACCGCTCATCAACGGGTTCTTCGGCCGATGTCAAAACCAATAGATCCTCTTCTGGAACCAAAAAATGTTTCGAAAAGGCTTCCAACAGCTGTTGTTTGGTCTCGGTCTCTTTCTTCTGTGCCATCAGGGCGCTGGCTTCCTCGAGTACCGGCGTGGTATCCTGCTTTGCGAGGTTGATTCGTTTGCGCATATCGTCGCATGTCTGGTTAAGTGTTGAGACCACCGTTCCTATCCGTCTCAATTGCTGTTATTGCCATTCGAATTAGACTTCCAGGTCCCGATCTCTAAAGGAGCAATGGGAGTCTCACCTCTGCCACTTTCCCGAAGTCCTTAACAATCTCCGCATTGCAATCGACAACTTCTTTTTGCACATCTAGTCGTAGTTGCCGACGTGTTTCTGCAGTGTTGTGAATGCCCCTCAAGCTTAAAGTCTCGAGGGAGTCCCGAATGTCCGAGTCCGCATACGATGCCGATAGAACCGTTGTCAACCGATTAGTGAGGGCTGTCGGGCGCTGCATTGGCGGGGACAATGGAGATGATGGTGTCGGTGTATTAGCTCCATTACTGGCGCTGCCACTTGCTGTAAAGTAGCTGGTCATTGTTGTTCGAGCAACGCAGCGGAGAGTCGGCGAGGGGAAGTAGAGGACAACCTCGCACTTGGCGCATCGACCGCCTTCGCGGTATCTTATCGTCAACAATACTCTATTTGTTTTCCCCTCCTGATTTGTTTCAATCCACTCATTTATAGAATTTCATTGCTACCTGATCCCATGGATAGTCCACTCGTTTCGCCGGCTAAGGCCCGCCAGGCCGCTATTCAAGCTAAAGATTGGGCGTACGTGAACTCCTGGCTCAATCGACAATACGCGCCCAAACCGGTCCCCAAGTTCGAGCGTAATGAAGATACTCTCCGCGTCCTCCTGACTCTAGCTGCAGCCAATGATGCTGCAGATGAAGAAGCCACTCTACAACATTGCGCACGCGAAGATGCTGTTGATGCATACAGAAGGCGGGAAGAGTTCGAACGCAAAGATCCCCACGAACAACAGAAGAATCAACTTCTTGATGAAGTCGAGATGTGTTTGGATGATAAAGGAAGACGTGATCTAGAGGACCTCGCCGACTCCGCCGCAGCTCTGGGCAATACCTTAAATCCGAGCCCGGGGGATCTGGGGCAGTCGATTGTGGAGCTCACGGTGGAGGAGTTCGAGGCCCAGGAACAAATTGCAAAGGTCGATACATTGCATCGGTATCTCCAGAGAGAGCTGGCACGGTTACAGGCGGAGCTTGAGGAATTGAAGACCGATGTGGCGTATGAGACACCATCCGATACACAAAGCTTGACATCGGAGTGGACACGCAGCACAAAAACACTTGCAATCAAGGTCGGGGAGTACCAGGATCGTATTTCCTCACTAGAGAAAGTTCAGCCCCGGGGACCGACTATTGATGAGCTGATTGCGGAGGAGGAGAACGTTATCAGGATGCGGGAGACGGTCAAGGCCCTGCAAGGCCGTGTGAGGGCGTTCCATGATCTTCCCAAGGATACCCCAGGGGCACAGGCAAAGTATAAAGAACTAGAGCGTGAGCTTAGCCAACTTAGACGACAACGAGATTCAATGGCACTATAGGTGAGCGGTACTAAAGCCAGCTTTCTACATCCTTTGGCCTTCTACAATGTTTGTTCTACATAATGAACTTCTTTCACTTGAAAATATGATGGATTCAAAGAGTAGGTCATTTGGCTAATAAAAAAACGCAAATGGTATCGTGAACTCATGAGTCTCGACAGCAAGGCTATCCGAAGTCATGGAATGACCATGATAATGGCCACTCACCTAAGAAAAACCATCTTAGTTGCCGCCGAGGCCAAGCGCACCCTTGACCTTGTCACCACTAGAGGTATGGTTAGAGTATGATTATTTGGTTCCAGAACAGAGTAACCTACATGGAACCGGTGGCGCCACCGTGGCCGTGGTTGTCACTGGCACGCTGGGCCTTGTCGAAAGCCTCCTGGCCAACACCCTTGCTATCATCGGTCTGCAAGCCGCGGGTAGCACGGTCAGTGGTGTCGGTGAAAGTCTCCTTGACCTTGTCCTGGGTAGACTTGGTGGAGTCGGGAGTGATCTCCTCCTTGGCCTCTGTGGGAAGAAGTGGTCAATAACGATGTCATAATATAACAATTTGATAGGCAGATAAGACACTGTCACATACTAGTGGTAAAATCCTTGCGACCGGTGTCAGACATGATGAATATTGATTGGTGTTTGGTGGGTGAAAGTAGATAAATGTGTACTTTGGTTGAAGTAAAAGCTGTTGATGAAGGAACAGCCGAGGAGGCAAAGAGCAGGTTTATATATGTATATATTTGTTTGCCCTGATTGCGAGCTCGAAAACAGATACTACATGACGTCTTTCGTGTTTGCCGTCGTGATCAACTTACTTTATTCACAATAGACACCATATACCAGCTAGGCAATATGTACACAGGTCTATTTGAGCCGGGACCCCGGGCTAACCACAACCTCCAAATTAAATAATGGGCCCTCCAATCATTATGGTTCCTAAGGCTCAGCTGTAGATGATCTTTCACGAAATACAGGCTGTGGTACCCGATGGCATCATGCTCTCGGTTCGTTCGATTTCTTGATGTTCTGGGGATGACGTCATGAAGATATTCAGATGCCAATACTTTGAAGTTTAAATAGCACGTGATTGTTTCTCAGCTATCGTGTTGGATAGTCACATGATACAATATAGACCCCACACCTCCAGGGACAACTAAGCCTAATTAGGAACAAATAATATCAGGCGGTCAACAAGATTTGGCAGAACCATCCACCGCCTCCGTCACCTGTTTGGGCATCAACTGAGGTCGTCCATCTCCGATCAACTTGTTTGTTTCATTCCTCATCTTTTCGTTCTAACTCACTATGTGGCTAAGATTTGTGCTTCTTCATGCATTATTGTCTTGTTCTCTGTGATTATCAACTGGATCATTATCCTGGTGACAAGTCGTTGAATTCATCATTCTTTCGTTTGCTACCATCCAAACTCCAACACACGAACCCGTTACACATCCGCTACATCTGTCTCATCAGCTGTCAATGACTGCATCGGACTCCCCTATCCCTTTAAACTGGGACTTCACTCCAGTGCATGACCTACTACGGTCGCCTGTCGATGGCTGCACTGCGAAACCTAGTCGCCACAATGAATCTACAATCCCCTCGCTTGGTGAACCACAAGCCAAGGGTGATCCCTTTTACACTACCAATGGGAGGCTCGTGGATCTTATCTCTAACCGGAGTAACCCAAAGCTTGGTGACTTTGGTGCTCTTTGGGAGCTTTTCAACGGGGCCCCCGCTCCTGCGGTCGTCACACCAACTTTAGGGGCCGCAGAGACCACCAAGTCTGAGCTGAAGAAGGTTCAGTCATCACTTGAAGAACTTCCTCCTACCTCAGTGGAAATACCGGCCAAAAGGGTCTCATTCCCTGGTCCCCCTGGAATTGAAACATCTGTCCCCATTTTGTCCAACACCTCTCGCATCATCAACAAGCCAAATCCCCGGGCCCTCAAGGACACCGCCACTGGCTATACCTCCTATTCTTCTTCTCGCCCAAATGCCCATGTGGCAGGGGTTCCTATCAATTTTGAGGGTCAATCATTCACTATCTTGAGGCGGACCTCTGTTCATGAGCCTTCTGGAACCAGTACCAATGTGAAATTTGGTATTCCACGGACCCCGCCGGAGACGTTTGGTAGAGCCAGAGTTGGTGATCCGAATGGTACTCCCACGGCAAAACCCAAGTCTCGGTCTCGCGGAAAATATTTCCAGCAAAACACGTGCAACAATCCAATCACATCTGAAGAAAGCGCTGGGCTTGAATCGGACACAAGCATTGTGTTCGATCATCCCATTTCTGAGAAACCTGTCGGCATCCAATTTGTACCATCTCAAGTCGGCACGCTTGACGCGAAGACTCGCCGTTATGATACCCCACCGTCATCATTTGAGGATAATGACTGGACACTGAATGCCGACACCATACAAGGGCTTGCTTCTGGAGGTGCTCGTGTGCGGTCTACCCTACACCTATCGGCCGCGGACCGAAGAACCACCTTGATTACCAGACTCCTCGGCCACTTTCCCGCCTATGCCAAAATTGTGTCTCAAGTAGGGCAGATTTCGCCACACCGTCCTATCGAGAGTATTGATTCACTTCCCATTCATATCTTTGTTGATATGTCAAATGTACATTTCAGTCCCCCCTCTACCAAAAATCCCATCTCAAGCTAATTCATCTCAGATCATGGTGGGATTTCACGATGCGGTGAAAATCTCGCGCAATATCCCTCTCTCCAGTCGAATCCGTCGCGTTCATATGTCTTTCGCAAACCTCTCATTGATCATGGAACGCGGCCGCCAGGCCGCCAAGAGAGTCTTGGTCGGCTCGGATCGTCTTCCCTCGGTCGAAGAAGCCGAGAGACTCGGCTACGAAACCAGTATCCTCGAGCGTGTGCATAAGGCGAAGACCGTCACCCCCCGTCGCAATAACAAGTCCTGGAAACCCCATGGCTCCAGTTCTCAGGGTGCATCTAGCGGTCCTGAAACGGTCGCCGCCTCTGGAGAGCGATGGGTCGAACAGGGTGTGGACGAAATTCTGCACCTGAAGATTTTGGAGAGTCTTTTGGACACAAAAGATCCCGCGACTATTGTTTTGGCGACGGGGGATGCGGCCGTGGCCGAGTTCTCTGGTGGGTTCATGAAGATGGTCGAGCGCGCGCTGCAGCGCGGCTGGAATGTTGAGCTTGTGAGCTTCTCGCAGGGAACAAGCTATGCTTACCGAAAAAAGGAGTTTCGGACTCGGTGGGGAGACCGCTTCAAGCTGGTCGAGCTAGACCGTTATGTGGAGGAGCTATTTGAGTGAATGGCGAATCCCGATTCTGCTCTCAAAGGGGATTTACTTCATCTTTCCATTTGAATGAAATCAAAGATTATAGCTACCATGACTCAAATTCCTTATATTTTTGACTCAAAATTCGATTAATATAGCTTGTAGCCCGTAGTTTCGTATATTTGAGTCAACACCCCGCCAAATCGCCAAACCGCCCAACGTCATTGGGCGGAAAACACCCGCCCGCACTTGTTGCCTCATGCACGTCTGCTCGTCTACCTGAAAGGTTTCTCCATTCTGGAACTATATAGTCCTTGTCAATCAGTGCTACTCTCCAATATCCCTTGTCTTCTTCTGCATTGTTGAGCTTCAAACTAAAAGGCAAAAACGGACCGGCGAAAAAATCCGCAATTTATCTCGAAGAATTTGGATTTGATCTTGCACGACCAGCAGAACATTCTTTCAAAAAGAAAGAAGAAAGAAAAAGAAAAAAAAATCTTTCATCTTACAATCACAACAAATCAATTCCATCATGTCTCAATTCACAGATCAAGACTTCTTCGGCGGAGCCATTCGAGGCGTCGTGCCCCAAGGCTGGATTGATGCGAGGTTAGTATATAACCTTCCTATGCATCAAATTCCCATTTTATTTCTTCAATCCATTCCCAATCCCATTCCAGAACATCCCAATCAAACATAAACCCCAAAACTAACACCCAACCCCAGTACCCTCCGCGAGGTCCCCGACCACCAAGAGCTATGGCTCTCACCAACAACCCTCTCCAACCTAATCATCGAAATCAACCAGCGCGTCCCGCAAGCCGAAGCTCTAAACACCTTCGCCGCGCTCAACTACCAACAACCCACCGCCGCCCCAGGCAGCGGTAGCGCAGCGCCCGCAACAGCAGAAACAGTTGACCAAGCAGCTGCCCTGTACCACCTGCACGATCTCTGCGACGAAGGCGACACTATGCAGGTGATCACGTCGCCCACGCGTGTCGAGGTCCAACTTGCTTCATCCTCACCTACCCCCGCTTCCGCTATCAAGGCGTATCGTGGCGTTGTCTCTTTCACGACGCCGGTGCGAGGTAGCGGTGGACGTGTCCCTACGTCTGTTGATGGGTCTGCTGCTGGTGTTGCGGATGCCGGAGTGTTGGGTGCGCAGGCGAATGGGGATTCTAGTGGTTTGCCGCAGGTTTCGAGGTTGACGTGTCATTTCTTGCTTGTTAGGCTTGAGGCGCAGGAGACGGATTTGTTGGTTTTCTTTAATGTGCCTCATGAGGAGTTTGATAAGAGTGGTGACCCTAGGGGTTTGTCGCTTGAGGAGGTTGTTGCGGAGGAGACTATTGGGGCTTTGATTGGGAGATTGGAGATTTGTGATTGGGGTCTCTTTGTTTAGATGTCTTTTTTTATATGGATGTGGATGACAGATCGTGGATTGGGATTGGGATGGGGATTTTATTGGGAGGATATGGCTGTAATAGCTAGAGGTTTGGGATATGGAATAAGCACCGTTTGCGCTTTGCGGTAGATAGAAATAAAACAATTTACTTGCAAGATTATTCCGTGCGTTTAAAAGATGACATAGGTGTATGTTGATCTATACGTAAATCAAAGGTTGTATTGTGGTATAGTGCTATCTAGTAAGTTTCTATAGATCTAGTCATTTTATAGTCAGTCATGTTCACATATCCATCATTGGCATTGCAGTCCATTCTGTTGATTCCTCTGCGGATTCTTCAGAAACACATCGTTCACACTGGCACACAAAACGGAACGATTTCCGAAGATGTTCGCGACGCGAAGTAAGATCGGTATATTGTGTCAAGTCGAAGTACGAGATGCAACATTCCTCGCCCGGAAAAATGTCGCGGGAGGCGGTAAAGACCATGCGGCCTTTATCGTCGGCTTTATGGATGATCTGGTGGTGAATTAGTATTTACTTTCACAAATTAGGGGAAAGAATTCCTACATTTGGCAGACACGAATGATTAGCTATTGCCGCAGTGGGATAAACAGCAGCAGCGTATTGCTCCCCTCGATCGACAGGAGGGTTCGGCAGGGGGAAAATGCCTGTTTCTCGTGGGTAAAGACCAAATGAGTTTGCCTCTTCCTGACAAATGAGATGAAGAACACGATCTGCACTCATCTCATGGGGAAGAGTAGGACTACTCTTCAAATACTTCTTCACAAGAGCAGACCAGGATCGAACCATGTCATGAGGCCAGGTATCTTCCGAACCACAGAGCGATTCAATACCACTCCATCCATGTTTCCAATTCCCCGTCGACTCAACACCAACATCTCTCCCATCATGTAATTGACAATGTCGCGCAGCAAGCAACCGAA